CTTCTGTCTGTGAATATCCCTTTGCAACCAATCGAGCCTTGTAGCGCTCAATCTCCCCATTGGCACAAACTTTCTTATTGAACACCCACTTGCAACCAATTGCTTTTCGGTCTGCAGGTAGATTCACCAAACTCCAAGTTTGATTTTTCATTAGAGATTTCATCTCTTATTTCATAGCTTCGTCCCACTGTTTGGCATCCTCCGAGCTCCTAGCTTTTCTTACGGTGCTCGGATCATCACTTGTAATACTAAATGCACAAACATCATCACTAGCACACATGATATAATTTTCAGGTGTATAACTTTCAGATGGTCTTCTTTCCCTCGTGGATCTCCTTAGCACTGGTGCTTCAACCTCAGCCTCAGTTTCAGAAAATTCATCCTCTACCTCGTTATATTCAACAGCTTCAGAATTCAAATTTTCCAATTCAACCCCTGAGTTTGTTGTATCCTCTTTCAAACCCACATCCAACTCTATTGTCTGAGACATTTCAGGAGCTTCAGGAAAAATTTGATTCAACTTACATTCCCTGAATACAACGTATCTGCTGTAAGTTACACTTCTAGTATCCGGGTTCCACAACTTATAACCTTTTACGCCATCCTTGTACCCAATAAAGATACACTTTTCAGATTTACTGTCAAGCTTGCTTCTTTTCTCCTTGGGTACATGCATATATGCTTCACACCCAAACACCCTAACATGAGATACGTCTGGCCTTTTTCCAAACAGTTCTTCATACGGAGTCTTCTCCTTCAAGGCCGATGTAGGAGATCTATTCTTCAGATAACAAGCAGTAGCCACTGCCTCAGCCCAAAACTCAGCTTCCAAGCTTGCACCGCTCAGCATACTCCGTGCTTTCTCCATGAGAGATCGATTCAACCTCTCTGCCACCCCATTCTGTTGAGGTGAGTAGGGCGTAGTCTTCTGTCTTACAATCTCATTGCTAGCACAAAACTGGTCAAATTTTGTTGAACAGAACTCCCCTCCATTGTCATTTCTCATCACCTTGATTTTTTGATCAAACTGATTTTCCACCAAAGCCTTGAACTCGCGGAATTTATCGAACACTTCATCCTTGCTACGTAAGAAATATAACCACACGTCTTGAAAAATCATCAGTACAAGAAACATAATACCTTGATTTTCCATGTGATGCTACAAGTGTGGGGCCAAACACGTCGCTGTGTATCAGGTTCAGAATCCCCTCAGCTCTTCCTCCAATGGAATCAAAAGATACCCGATTTTGCTTCCCTTGCAGGCAATGCTTGCAAAATCCAAACCCCATAGAGCAGCTCAGAATTCTATCCACCAACTTCTTTGATGTTAGAGTCTCTAGACCTTTTCCTCCAATATGCCCCAGCCTCCTACGCTATAACATAGCAGTGTCCTCCTCCGCCTGTTCTGAAACATAGCTTTCACCACTGAATACTGTGCTACCCAACAGTTTCCATAATTTACCATGACGCTCTCCTTATGCAATAACCAAAGCTCCTCTAGTCAGCTTGCAAGAATACTTGTCACTGCTAAAATTAATACCAGCATATGCCATATTACCAACGGAGATCAGATTTCTGATAAGCCCCGGAATATGCATCACACCCGACAGATTCTTGACTGTCCCGTCACCCATCTTCAGCTTTACCTTCCCACGCCCCACAATTGCATGAGTCGTATCATCTCCCACTCTAACTGTACCGCCAGAATATGATTCATAGGTGCAGAACCATTTCCTATGAGGTATCATATGAAACGATGCTCTTGTGTCAATAATCCAGTCATTACAGTCACTATAACTGTCAAATGCCATGTACAGGTCCCCTGTACTATCATCATCCCTCTTTGTACCCGAAGCAGAAGGTTGTGAATCATCCCGCTTCTCAGGACCTACGCTTTTACTTCTGCAATTCCTTCTCAGATGTCCAAGTTGTTTGCACCTCCAGCACCTCATTTAGATTTATCACGGGACTTTGATCGTCTCCTCGATCTTCCTCTGTGACCAGACTTTGATCTGTCACCACTCCTCCCTCTAGCAACCAGAGTCTCATTGCTGGTACCTTCAGAACCTACCCTTCTCATCTCCTCAGACAATAAGGCAGCAACAACTGTCTCGAACGACAGTTTATTAACACCAGTACCAATTGACACAATGATGTGCTCCCAAGAGTTGGGCAGTAAACACAACAAGGTGCAAGCTTTGTCTTCCTCATCCAGGTTGATGTCTATAGACGAAAGTTGTGCACAAAAAGTATTAAATTCATTTAAATGTGCAGAAAAGGAATCACCTTCGCTCATCCGTAGATTATACAGCCTTTTTTGCAGGAACAACTTGTTCACGAGTGACTTACTCTGATAGAGACCTCCCAGCTTCGTCCAGAGATCCTTCGCGGTCTTCTCAGAAGTTACGTTCACCAGAACGTTATCTTCCAGGCATAACCAGATCAGGCTTCGTGCCTTTTGATCGTCTCTGGTCCACGCCTTCAACTTCTTCGACTCGTCGTCACCTGACGTTTCATCACCGACAGGTTTCGTTGGTACCGATGGCTTATCATCTTCGATCACGTGCCACACGTCCTTGTCAAGGAGCAGAGCCTAAATCTTCATATTCCATAACTCGAACCCTTTTCCTCCGAACTTTTCAACCTCGACCCGTGATTGGCCAGTCGACATCCTCTCCAGATCAATTTCACAGTTTTCTCTATGCCAAGAAAAACCTCAAATCGCGAAACCCCAATCTGTCACAGGAACCCTGGTCGCAGAACCAAAGCTCTTGATACCACTGTCAAGCGGGTTCAGGGAAAGCCCGTGGCGGGGGACCACCACCAATGGGTCAATGCTACACCAACCGTAGCAAGTGGATCCAACACCATGTCTCTACCCAAAACCTTAAGGCATCGGGTTCATGGGTCCATCCACTTATATACACTTCTTTTAGCCCATTACCAACCAATGTGGGACTCATCACACTTGAATACTCCAACACATATTACTTATTAATATATATTACCCATAATATATAATATAGTTTGTAAGAGTTTGTAAATATAATCTATCCATATAAATTTGTTATTTTTACTTTGATAAAAATTATCTTTTCTCAATTTATATTTTATAATGTCTCATCACTTTTAGCAATAATTGGTCGATGCCAAAAATTCTCCGCTCTTCGTCACATCATTTCCATCGTCATGCGAAGTTAGTGTATATCGGGAGCAAAAAAAGTTCTGGCAAGATTAAGGTGAGATAAAAAGAGATAAGGTTTATAAGAGAGGAGAGAAAAAAATGATCTAGGTGTCAATTTTTTAATAAAAGAATCATAGTGATCCTGGACCATATTAAAAAATTTTCCTCATTGTTATGGCTGGCACTGCCACCAAAATTACCACATGACCACTCTCATAATTATTAAATTATATGTTTTTTATTTTAAAATACTTATTAATTAAAATCACTCTACATAAATTAACAATATTATTGAACAACTAAAATTTAAAAAATAATTAAATTTTTATTTTTGATTAAATTAGTCTTAATATTATTGAATATGTCAATTATTTCAACTAATACAATTTTTATAATATGAAATCATGTCTTTACTCTTTTGAATCACAAAGTGATCATGTTCTCTTTCAAGTTAAAAAAACTAAATATTTTTTTTTGAATTATTTAAGTAGTAAATAAATTAAAATCAAATTTTAAGCTATAAATATTTCGAAACAAATAAAATATTGTAAATTGATCTCATCAAAGCATCCTTAAATGCCTTATTTGCACCAAAGGAATCCACAAAGTTATAGACCAAATGTTGATCACGAACGGCTCTTGATTAAATGGTACACTTGTTCTCCATGTGATGTAAAAACATTATGAAATAATAACATTATCAAGCATACAAATACTAGCAAGTGTATTGCGCTGGGCTGGGTGTTAATATTTTCATTCAAATACCACTCATATAAAACAAAATAAACTTATGTAATCATTAAGATTCTCAAAGTATACTTTGTGTTATTTTGATTTTTACTTATTGAGAAATTTCCCATAAAATGTTTTTTTCAAAATATTTTGATTATTTTTTTGAACGAAAATAAGTTAATCCATACTTACAATACAAAATAATTATTTATCAAATTTAAAATTTAAAATGATACACAAAATTTAAAGTACTTCATGCAATGCATGAGGTAAAACAAAAGCGGGATATGTTTCTCATTAGACAATTTTATCTCATGCAATACATAAAAAAAAATAGATAGGACCCAATAAAAAGAAGAGAGAAAAATAAAAAATATGAATCACATCTATTTTTTGTGTATATCCATGAGACAATTTATCTCATAAAATATGAAAAAAGGTTCATTTTTTATGCACTCAGCCTAGATAAGTTATCTACATTGAATATAAAATAATGTCATTTTAGGACAAAAAACAAGGTATTTTTGTAATTATAATTTATTTCAAGATTATAATAGTCTTTTTCCTTATAATTTTTTAATTTTTCAACCCAAAATAACATCGTTTTAGGAGTGAATATAGATAACTTATCTACAATATTCACTGTAGAAACATTAAAGCTATGAAAAATATATGGGTTTTATTAATTTCATGTTAAAGGAGATAAGTTATCTCATGTCATAGAGATAAACTTGTGGGATCCGCAGCTGAAAAAAAAAAGTGACACAGTTATCGAAGAATATGTAGGAGGGTAAACTTATCACATGTAGCGTGAGAATAATTTTTCCCAAAATATATTTACCTAAAGCAAACTGTGTTAAATAATATAACCATACCACATTTGGGTTGGGTCACGGGTTTAGATTTGAGTCTTTTTTACTACTTTTCAATCCCGGCCCAATTCAGCAATTCTTTCCCCATCGGCCATCACCATCAGCAATTCTTTTTTACATTTAGTATTTGGAAGTAAGAAAATATAAACAAAAAAAAAAAAGAATTTTTTTTTATTGATATTAAAGTCCTAGAGTACCGCGTGAGTCGTCGATGCGCCTTTCGTTCTAAAACCTGTCTTTTAACCCTAAAACCCACTTTCCGATAGTTGCAGCTGTTTTAGGGTTTTAGGGTGTGGTTGGATTGGGAGTGTTGGTGGCAGAAAATCAAACGGTCTCATTTCGGATACGCAGCAAGGAGAGAAATTCTGTAGAAGCCTTGATAGAGTGTTACATGTTTTGATTTGCATCTCTTAGCTTCCGCCACACAGGTTACACTATTCACTATTCACCTTACTATTCAAAAAACAGCAACTCTTTTTGAACATTGAACTACGGTGAGTCGTGCTTCCAATCTCTGTTGCTCTTTCTTCTTCTCCTTTCCTTTTTTTGTTGTTGTAATTTATGTTTTATTTTCACGGGTAAAGCCATAGCCAAAAACTTTCTTGTTAAATCGTTGAAAAGCCTTTGTATTTACCATTCTGAACGAAGGATTAAGGTTGCTACTGTTCGATTTTTATTTTTATTTTTTCGTTTTTGTCATTGGCTTTAGGAGTCTAGATGAAAGTAAGTTTATGGTTTGTGAGCTATTTTTTTTTTTATTTTTTTTTGGTTGATGTTACTTAGTATTATATCATTTGTGTTTTTTTGTTTCTTCTGTGCAACTGCTATACCCTTCATGAACTATTACGGTTATCGCTCGTGCTTCTGAGATCCTTATCCTTCTCTTGTTAAAGGATATTCCGTAATAGTTCAGTTCTCATATGTTTGTTGCATTATAGGAGCGAGGTGAAAGCACATTAATTTTAATTAGAAAGGGCATCCTTTTTTTGGGTGCTAGGTTCCAGTTATTAGAAATTTTTGGACTGCTTTCATTACTTATATTTTATTTAAACATTGGGATTTTTGTATTGAAAGAAGAGAATTTTGAATTACTCTTTGTTAATCTGATATTATTTATTTCGTATTCTGCTTATAATTATGTTAATTTACATACTTTTTTTTTTCTCGTAAATGGTCCTTTTAAATTGTAAACCTAATACATTCAGGAAAACAAACATAGATTCTTGTGCTTTGTCTATTTATTTGGCTCATGTATCTTAAGTTACGATTCTGCTTCTCACCTTTTTGCCAAGGAGTTTTTGTCCCTTAATTGTTTGTTAATGAAGTTCTCTTTAACCCTTAAAAGAAAGAAAGAAAATGATAGTTGTAAATGCTAGGCTTCACTGTTTTTGTCTAAAATGAACTTTTTTTTTCAATATTTGTATAGGTTGAATGGAGGCACCTTTGGTAAATGATGATACAATGGTTGACAGTGAAGCTGAAGACCTGGGAGGGGAAATGTCACCATCTGACTCAGAATCTGAAGAAGATGTTAAATTAGCTGAACCGTCTAAAAATGCGGTATATAACAGAGATGCTTTATTAGATAAACTTGGAGACATCAGCTGGCCAGAGAATGTGCAATGGATACACAAACTATCCATTGATATTGATCAGGAGCAAGAAGTAGATGTCAATGATGACTTGGCACGCGAGCTTGCGTTTTACACACAGGCATTGGAGGGAACTAGGCAGGCATTTGAGAAACTTCAGTCAATGGGTCTCCCTTTCCTGAGGCCTGCAGACTATTATGCAGAAATGGCGAAGACAGATAACCACATGGAAAAGGTGAAAGGTCGGCTATTAGCAGAGAAGCGGAGGATGGAAGAGGCTGAAGAGAGAAGAAAGGCCAGGGAGGCAAAGAGATTGGCCAAAGAGATTCAAGCCCAGAAATTGAAAGAAAGGGCTAAGCAGAAAAAGGAGGATATCGAATCTGTTAAGAAATGGAGGAAGCAGAGGCAACAGAGTGGGTTTGCTGACAGTGCCAATGATGCAGATATTGGTCTGGACTTTGAGGATGGAAAAGTATTCGAGAGGTCAAAGGGGAAAAGGCCAGGAGTGTCTCCAGGTGATCGGTCAGGAGGGAAGGCAAAGCAAGCCTTTGGAAAAGGAAAGAAACAGAAGAAGAGAGATGTTAAGAATTCCAAATTTGGTTTTGGAGGCAAGAAGGGATTGAAGAAGCAGAATACAGCTGACACCAATTATGATTTTAGTGGTTTCAAGAAAGGCGCTGCCGCAGGAAATAAGAAGAGAAAGAGGTAAAATACAATCGTTGATTTGTTTTGTGAGGAAGCAATGTCATGGAATGTGCCAATGTTGGTGGTATCCTGGGAATTTTCATATAATATTTCAGTTCTACTTCCTAAAATGACTTATGGTAACTTCATAAGCTTTATCGACAATTATCAATTCTTATATATCTATTCCAACGCTTTTTTTTAAATGATCTGTTACTTTATGCTCTCCATCGCTAACGGGTATACGCTGTGGCTCTTTTGAGTCCAAGACAATGTAATGTAGGCATATATATCTGGAGTACTCTTTTGTTAATTTATTTTATCTTTTCAATTTCTTATACTTATTTTATCTGAATATACTGAAATTGGTGTGTGTCCAATAATGGTGGATTGAGCTCTCGCGATTAATTAAAGAGGCGAATCGGAGCAATAGTAAAACTGTTCTTTCATGACTAAAAGGTTATGAGTTCGATTCAGGAAACAGCCTGTTTGCAATTATGCAAGGGTAAGGCTGTATACAAGAATTTTTTCCACCCCACACTCGCTAGTCGGGTTTAACATGGAGTGTTTTTTTTTTTTTTTTTCCTTGAATGGTAAACTGGGTTGCATGTGTTTTCTTTCCCTTCAATCTGTCATTTTGTGCCACTAATTTAAACTAGGGATGTTAATTTCTTCGTGGACAACTTTGCAAGAACTGCTCCATTTGGAGCTTGAGTTTGTGAAAACACTACAAAGTACTCTTGACCGAAAAATGAAAAATCCACCATGACATCCCGTATGTATTTTGTTTCCTCTTCATTTTTTTATTAACACACCGTCATGATGTTCTGTCCAACGATTGTTGTCAAACATAATAATACTGTAACTTGTTTTGGTTGGGTAAAATTTGGAGAGCGCAGTAAATTTCAGATCTTAGTCAAATGTCATTTGTTCAGCTTCTTGCCTAATGGATTCAAACAATGGTGACGACAGATAACGCTCTCCGGAACTCGGAAATATCACCTGCACAGCAACACGAGTAAATGACATGATTTAGCATACAATTTTGATCACAACTTCAATTACAAACATCCAGAAGAGCAAAATATCAAGTTTGTATCCCATTGTATATAATAGTCACTCCAAGATGACATTATATCTCGCCAACAAAACAAATTATGATCATGAATCATGAAATAAACAAATTCCTCTACACACTTAGGGCCGCGAGCCTTCTCACTCACACTATTCACCGTTTCTCCTCTTTTGTGTTTCTTCACACACATATGTGATTACTACTTTTTTTTGGCAAAATTTTCAGTATGAATGAAATATGAAAAGGGAAAGCAAATTATCTGTAGTTTTAAGGCAAATAACATTATCAAGTTTGTTTTTTTTTTAATAAACTTATCAAAGATTAGAAACTCACAACAATGAGCTTTCCTGCATTTTCTTGTCTCTTCCCCAACTTTATTGCAGCTGCTGCTGCAGCTCCTGATGAAATTCCCATCTGCAAAAGAAGTAATAATATAATCAGCACAAAAAAAATAATTTGAATCCTTGGAATTAGATATCAATAGGAATAACTGTGTATAAACTAGTGTAAACCATTAAGAACAACCACAAATTATCATTTCCATACCAACAAACCTTCTTTCAAAGCAAGCAGCTTAGCAGTTTCTATAGCCTCTTCACTTGATATCTGCAGTTTACAAACCTTGTAGGTCTTAGCAGAATACCTTGTATCAGTAGCTTACAGAGAAAACATTTGTATATCTCGAATGGCGAATGATCTGTTTACAAATTATTTTGAATTTTTTTTACAAATTACACTATGTTCTCCCGAGAGAACATAGTGAAACTAGTGTTCTCTCGAAGAACATAGTGTAGTTTGTAAGAGTTTGTAAACAAAAGAGTAGTGTTCTTTGTAAATATAACTTGTCCAATGTCGAATACAGGTAAAGTTTGTATAAGAGATTTTAAAAAATAATGCCAGCCATTTTAAAATTACCCGGGATCTAAGTAAATTTTAAAAATATAATTTGAAATATTTGAAAAATCCACCGACTACAATTACTAAATATATTAATATTATTCCAGTACATTCACTGCAAAATAAAATAACAAATCATGAGGCTACACTTGGCCACAAAAAAAAAAAAAAGATGAAGAAGGAGACTCATTCTGAATAAAAGGAAATGACCAGTTTCTGGTTCAAAATTGAAAATTGAATGCCAATATATTAAGTGTAGAGAGCTACCTGAATAACTTCATCTAGTAGATTAACATCCAGTACGCTCGGAATGATACCATTACCAATCCCTTGGATTAGGTGATTGCCTTTGACATGTTTACGAATGTACAAAATAGTCAGTAAATAGTCACACATTATTGTGTAAGGTCTTATTATGGTTTAATGAACAATATTTTAGGATTTTGTATAGGGAAAAGTATGTATAATTTTGAAGGATGTAAAGTTGTGTCATTTTAAGAGAGAGAAAGAGATAGATAAAGGAGGAGAGAGAGTTGACAAAAAAAATAAAATTGTGGGTCCCACCTCTTTGTGAGAGTGAAAGGATGTAAGTTGTGTAATTTAAATGTATAGACACTTTTCCCTTTTGTATATGCCATCTAAATGAAAAACTCATTTTTTTACAATTCAACTATGAACAACATTTAGCAGCTAGATTAGGAGTAAAGTCAGTAATCCACAAGAGGACTCAGTCCAACGTTGAAAGATGAATTGCCATGTACTTTGAACAAAGAGCATTTTTGTTATTCTTGTAGTTCAGGAAAAAGTACCAGTTCCTTTTATTTTCTAATTTTCTACAAAAAGAAGAAAAAAAATTATATTTACAAATTTTTTGTTTACAAATTACACAATATACTATGAGTAATACATTCCAACACAGAGTGTACTACTCACATAGTATAATTTTTAAGAGTTTATAAAGTCTGTCCGGAAAAGAAATAACAATAGAAGAACAAAAAGAATCATCACTTATACATGATGGTAAAATCACCTGGCTGTCCTCCACTCAGGACTGCACTTTCAACTGGCTCTACACCATAAACCTAGGGTGAAAAAGAGCAACAGAAACCTCAAGTTAGCTTAAATATTAAGAAAACTTGGTTCCCTCATTCTCTCTTTTAGCCCAGAAAGCATGCATGGTAAGCATTTAAACCTTGATCTCAGGGTTTCTCTCCTTGAGGAAGCTCCCAGCACCCGTTATTGTACCCCCAGTTCCTATCCCTGCAACCAAAGCATCAACTTTCCCTCCCGAGTCTCTCCAAATCTCAGGGCCAGTGGTCTCATAATGAATCTATAAGGATGACCATTGTCAATGACAAAATAATAGGCTCAGTTATGATATTATGAATATAAAAAATACCTTTGGATTTGCAGGATTATCAATCTGCCGTAGCATATAACTCCCTGGAATCTTGGTTACTATCTCCTCTGCCTTCTGAAGCACCCCATTAGTTCCTTTGGCAGGGTCTGTCAGATACACCTCAGCTCCAAAGGCTCTAAGTACAATTTTTCTCTCAAGACTCACAGAAGCTGGCATAGCCACTATAACTTTATAGCCCTTCAATGCTGCTATGAATGCCATTCCAATTCCGGTGTTGCCACTTGTAGCCTCAACAAGAACACTCTTTTCATCCATTATCCAAAAAAGATTAAACTTGTTTAGTTAGATCATACATTCAACAATATGGACATCACAATAAGTGCTTGAAGAGTGTGCTCAACTTTAATATTTATGAGCAAGTAATAATGGCTAATCTGATTAACACATGCACATTGGATATGATGTAATGAAATGAAATTTGAATAAGATTTTGTTGAAATAAAAACCATGTGTAAACTTTAAACTACTGACCTTTCCAGGTGTAATGAGGCCTTTGTCCTCAGCATCTTTAATCATGCTAAATGCTAACCTGGGTACGAAAAAGAAGATTATCATTACAAATTCTCAAGTGGAAATCCTACTATTTTACATCTCCATGTAGCTCTAGTTTGTAAAATAAAGGAATTTCATGCCTATCTTTGATACTGGAGCAGGGTTGCATGGACTCTAGCTTAGCAGCTATGCGGGCTACACAACCATCCGCAATGTTGTTCAGATATACCATTGGGGTATTGCCTATTAACTGCACAAGGAAAAGGGAAGAAGATAATTGTTAATTTTTGATTTTTGTTAAGAGACAAAAATTACTTCAAGCATGGTAGAATAGCATAAGATGGTGAAGTAAAAGGTAGGATTAAAAAAAGTGATTATGACAAAATATATTACTTCAATCGCATCTTTCTTGATTGCACACTCTGGCTCCATGCTACTTACTATTGAATTTGAAGACCTGCAAGCCGAAAGAAGGAACTCTGGTTAAGAAAATAATTGAAAATGTGAGGAGACATTAAAGTAAGTGCAGAATAAGAATGACTAGCACTCCCCGGATTGGTTCCTTATGCAGTTTATAAACAACCCTATCAAAGTCTTTCAGAAAACAAAGGATTGGTTGTTGAATTCCTCTTGGCTTTAAAAGGAAAGCCAAGTACTTTTAGTTTTATAACCAAGGCCCACCAACATAAGAAAGCACCGTAACAGTTCCATTAGCCAATCATTTCCAGAAAGAGAAACAAAATAATTAAATGATTGGGCATATATGAACCAAAAACTCAATACAAGAAAAAGGGTAATTGGGAAACTAGAATTACCAAATGACAATAAAACCATAATCAAAGTGTTTAAGTAGAGTGGAAATAGTTGTCCATTAGAATATATTATCTTCATAACTTCATTTGAATGAGAGTGATCCTGGTTCTCAGAGGCCTGTGTTGTTTCAGATAAGGACTTATCTGAGTAGATAATAAGTGGTCATAATAAAAAGCCTCGTAGGAGTGTGGTAAGAGGTATTTAGCAAAATTAACATAACATTCTGTCTTGTCTTGGCTGTATCCGTAAGTTCCTAACTCTTCACTTGTTATAAAACCAGGAAGTTTCAGACTCCACAAAATAACTAAGTAGATCACCAATAGTTCGGCAATTTGGATGACCAAGAAGTCTTCTTATCCGAAAAAGGTTAACCATTTTGACTAAGTTACAGAACGAGAATGACACTGGAAAGAAATTAACGTTTTATGCAAGGAAAACAAAAAAAAAAAACAAAAAAGCTATATGCACACTGCACCATGAAACCAAAATCTGAGGAGTTGGTAAACAAAGTTGTAGTTTTTGTATTTATTTCCTTGGAGTTTTCTTTATATTTCATTAGCACAAACAAGAATCCAATCCGTACTTGAAAATTAATCCTGTTTTTTTTTTTTGTCTTGCATGAGTGAGAGCACCCTTTGTTACGTACGCGAACAAGACGGAATGAAATAGTGGACCATCAACGAAGTAATCACATACCAAAGCAAATATTAGGACAGATTAGTATTTGTCCCACACCGTTTAAGTTTAAAAGGAGAGAAAGAGTGTGTAACTATAAATACTTAGCGAAACCAACTGAAAAACATACTTACCTGGACGGGGTCAATGGGTGATCAAGAAGGCCTATGGCCTAGACTAGTGACCTCCATTGCACTGAGGAGGGGTGCTAGTTTAAGGTCTCCCCAAGTGGGAGAGCCTACGTCATAATTTGTTGCAGTGGGGGCTTGCGTTCGCGCAGCCCCTGCCAAATCTTAGTTCAAACTGTTAACTTCAAATGGAGGGAAACTTACGAAGTTTTAACTTTATTTTTCATTCTATTTAAGCCGACGCCAGTTTTGTCCTCGCTGTTCGATTTATCTTCCGAAATCCCCATTAGCCTTGCTAGTTAGTTGTCCAAATCGTAATCCTTCAGAAACAAGAACAGAAGCTTGGTTCGAAAGAGAAAAAAAACTTTTGATTGTTTAATTTCTGATGTGAAGGAGGAGGACCCCAAGTATCCACCAACAAAACAATGCACCAAGACAGTTCAACCTACCAATCTTTTCTGCATATAAAATAAAGAACTTTTGAGCCAAAACCGGAATAACCCAGAGCATGAAAAGACGGTGATTGGGAAAGTAGAATTACAAAGTAAAACTTCACTTGAGAATGTCTCCAATAACGGGATGCCAAGAGTGTTGAAACCCCGGAAATTCTCAAACAAAGGAATGAAGTTAACCAACTAATTCTGGGATTGAAATTAGGAAAATTATTGTCTCATTTCCTCTCACATAAAAAATTATATCATTTTTTTTTAACAGGTGATGAACCCCATCACATAATATATCTACAATAGAAGATACTAATCTCCAATAACATGAGAGAAATAGAATGCCCTTCAAATTATATTCAGTTTGTGTAACTATTTTTACACAATTTGAATTCAGCACGTTATGTATATCTTCTTAGCGAAAAGACATCATTGTAATATATATTATATTATTGGACTGATTTATCTTACCCGTTTCCTATTACAGCCACATTTCCAAACTTATTTTTTTTTCCATAAAACATGACTGCCCTTGGATCTTTGGGAAAAGTCATATATATAAGGGAAAAGGCACCACATCTTAATAAATTGGGGTTTGCATTTATCATTTAACATGACACAAAATTTCTTACTCACACAACATTTTGTGGGGCTCAGACTTTTTAAAACAAAAAAAGAAACTAGGCACGTAAAACGAATCTCTATAACATTACACACCCACTCTTCCTACAACATAACTCTTATAACCCTAATAAATTACATGCTTAATAACTGTAATGACATTACGAGAAATGCATTACAGTTATAATGAAAAGCAATCCATTAATAACGAGCATGAGAGGGAGAGGGTTCGGACTTGACATGTTCTTTTTATAATTTTCTATAGCATCATTTACACTGATCCTAACTTAAGGCTATATTTGATTGTAGTCTGTATTTTTTTTTTGTTAAAATTGTTTTGTAGAATAATTAGTGAAATATATATTTTTTGTGTTTTTTTTGCTTTGAAAGTTAAAAATCAAAACAAAAACAACTCAAATATGTTCTATAAATTTGATTCTAAAAACAAGAGACAATTACAATTTTTAAATTCTTTTTTACAAAACAATCTTATCAAACAGGATTTTTTATTTTTATTTTGAAAATCAAAAAACTATTTTTAAAAACCGTATTCAAACAAACCCATCTGGAACTTTTTTATCTTATATGGGCACTGAGCAATCAAGAAGTTCTGAAATTGGTGCCATACCACCGCTCAAATAATTTTATGGGAAAAACTATTCTTATGTCACATGACATAAGTTTTCTCTCCTACACACCTTTCGATAATTGTGTCACATTTTTTTTTTCTTTTAGTTTTCAGGTGGTGGAGCCCATTAGTTTGTCTCTATGACATGAGATAACTATCTCCTTTGACATGAGATTAATAAAACTCTAATTTTATATAGATTCACGTTTTTGCTTGTAGCCACATTTCTCAAGATATTCATAATGACGAGAACTTGCGTTTCTGTAGGTTACCAGGCGTTCTCTATAGTTCCTCTCATTTTCGGCTGAGGGCATGTTTGGTGCACAATATATAATATGGTGTATAGTACATAATAAAGTCTGATAGTATAAGATTTGATTAAATTTTAATATTATTCAACATTTGGTATGATATTATATAAGATAATATCTTTCAATATTTTAAAAATTAATATATTAATTTTTTTTAATATATTAATATTGAAATAATATATTAGTTCTTGAAAATTGTACTTGTAAGCAATATTAATACATCAACCTCTTATCAAGCTTAATCCCACCCTCTTAGGCCTGATTAAATTATACATCATTTTGATGTATTAAGGAGTTCTGCTGTATAAGCTTATACTATACGATGGTCACATCAAACAACTGAAAATGTCATAATGTATAGTATAAGCTTATACTATCAAATCTTATACATCACACCAAACAGGTCCTAGGACAACTTTGATAATACGCATTCAACTCAAAAATGTTGCCAAGTCACTTAGAAAACTAAGAAATTAAAGACCGGGCAATCATAAAAAAAAAAAAAAAAAAAAGTTGTGGAAGGAACTGATAATTACTAATTATGGATGATAAGCCGAACAAGCGTACTCAAGTTCTTCTACTTAAGCCTTCAAACAAGAGTCGTGATTGAAAAAAAATAGCATTGTTTATTAGTACACTTATTTTATTATACAGAATAGTAAATTCCTTTTGCTTAGATTAAAATCATGAGTGCACAATAACATAAACTGCCAGTGCTTTTGGATTTCTAACCCTAGGCTTCATTTGGATGAGCATACCAAAACAGCTTTTGAAATCCATATAAGCTATATTGGGCTTAATCATAAGCTAGACATTGTTGCTTCGGAAAATAAGCAGTTATCTGTTTTTATAATAAGGATTTATTAAAATCACATTTCTACACAAGCACTTTACAAAGTGTCTATCCCAAACGTTATTCAACTTATTTTAGAGCGCACTTATGACAGTAGGGCTTGCTTAACAAACAATTACTTAGTACTTATATAAGCCATTTGTTCATCTTAGTCAAATGTCATTTGTTCAGCTTCATGCCTAATGGATTCAAACAGCGGTGAAGATAAGTAACGCTCTCCATAACTGGGAAAAATCACCTGCACAACCATGATTGCATTGACATTAACTAATAATCTGCAATTTTATAAATTTGTAGACTATAGTTATCTTGTAATTCCTGTCTAATAAACTTATTGAGGATTTAAAACTTACAACAATGAGCTTTCCTGCATTTTCTGGTCTCTTCCCCAACTTAATTGCAGCTGCTGCTGCAGCTCCTGATGAAATTCCCATCTGCAAAAGAAGTATTCATATAGAAAAATAATAATTTGCACATTCACAATTATAAATGTACAAAGTTCATATTTGATTGGAATAACTGTATAGAAATTACTATAAAGACAATAACAAGAATCACAAATTATCTATAACATACCAGTAAACCTTCTTTCAAGGCAAGCAGCTTAGCAGTTTCTATAGCTTCTTCACTTGAAACCTGCAGTTCATGAAACCATGTTGGTCAAAACAGAATCCCATCTATTAGTAGCTAGAAGAGGGGATATTATGTACATTCCATAAAATCTCAAAATGTTTCAAGAATCAAAGATTCAGAATTATTCAGCTTGGCAGTCATTGCAGATCGATATAATAGTTAATACATGTCAAGATATGTAACTCAATTATTCACATAACAAATGCCAAAGACCAGATAGCATCCAAGAAAATGGAAAAACAAAGCTTTGTCAAGATTCCAACATGATAGCCAAAACTGACACAAGGACAAGCATGTAACATATTCAAAACAAATTCAAGTCTCAGATATGAGAAAGTGAAAACAATGAAGAGCTTTATTTAGGCTCGGCTCACTAAGAATATGTTCAACCGTGTGTCAGTTCAATAAGACAGAAAACCTATTTTCATGATTCAAGATCAGCTCATTCTATGCTCATGAATGAGCTACTCTGGCTAGATCACTCAAACCCAAATTCTATACCAAGAGGGTTCATAATGCTTAAACTTGAATTTTGTCCTGTTCAGTTATCAGAAAGAGAAGCAAATGATAAAATAATTATCTTCTGATTTTTCCTTGTATCTTTTGCTTAAGATGTTTAATTAATTAACAATCCGAAACCTTTTATGCACTTTCTTTGCATCATAAGGAATAGAAATATATTTCCCAAGGAGATAACAAACTGTATTATATCTTCAAAAAAATACCAGTCATTTGAAAATTGTTGGGCATATAACAATTCCATTAAAGAAAATACAATTTGAAAAATACATTCAATACAATTACTGAACAAATATTCACTTCCACTACTCCATATTGTTGAGTCATTCAAAGATAAATGAGACAGCTTTAAATATAATCTAAATAATATTAATCTAATGCTTCACTGCAAAACAAAAACAAATGGAAGGAAATGGCCGGTTTCAGGATCAAAATTGACAATCAAATGCCAATATATTAGTGTTGAGAGCTACCTGAATAACTTCATCTAGGAGATTAACATCCAGAATGGTGGGAATGATACCAGCACCAATCCCTTGAATTAGGTGCTTACCTTTGAGGTTTGCGCAAATGGAAAGAACAGTCAGTACACAGCCTCAAGTGGTTGAGTAAGGACTTACTCAAGATTAAAGAACAAAAATTTAAGAATTTATGTATGACATCTGGACGAAAAACACACTTTAACAATTCAAATGAATAACAACAATATTTAGGAGCTAGATCACAAGTAGAGTCAATAATGATCAACAGGTCCAGCTTCTAACTTCCAATAAATAGGGATCTATCCAGATGGGAAAACACTTGCAGATGTCTAATAGTGCTACCTGAATTTCGTTTGGAGCTATTATCATGAAATTGATATCAAGAAATGGAACATATCTCAAACAGTTTCCGAAGGATGTTCCATTAAGCAATTAGATATCAAGAACGCTTTTCTTGATATGGCCTACTTCAAGAAACAGTCTGCATGAAATAACCACCATACTTAGGCCTCCCATTGTTTTCTATTGTACAACCTAGTCATTGCTTATCTCTCGCGGAATCCAGAGCCATACTCCAGGTCTAAGCCAATTCAATGCATCTGCAAACATGAGCAGATAGCAGATTTTTTTACAAAGAGTCTTCCTGCAACAAGGTTTCATCGTCTTTGTTCCAATTTGGACTTGGTTCCAATTCTCTGTTCAGCACATATAACAAATTTGCTTCTATATATCTTGATACAGAGATGAAAATAATATAACAAGTAATTCTTGGATGTCTTGACTTCTAATACAGCCCAATACTTGTACAATGAAATAGCAATACAAGACTGAAGACCAGAAAGAAATACACACAAAGGTAAAATCACCTGGCTGTCCTCCATTTAGAACTGCACTTTCAGCTGGTTCTACACCATACACCTGGGGGGAAGCAATAGAAATATAATGGTTAGCATAAATAAAAAATAAGAAAACTTGATCCCACGTGCACTCTAAGCCCAGAAATTATGCATGGTAAACGAATCAACCTTAATATCCGGGTTTTTCTCCTTGAGGAAATTCCCAGTACCCGTTATTGTTCCCGCGGTTCCTATCCCTGCAACCAAAGCATCAATTTTCCCTCCCGAATCTTTCCAAATCTCAGGGCCAGTGGTCTCATAATGAATCTACAAGGATGACAAGTTAATCGACTGCGATTTTTCTCAACCCAGCAACTAAATTAGGAAATATGAATGATGAGGATACCTTTGGATTGGCATGATTTTCAAATTGGTGGAGCATATAACTACCAGGCGTCTTGGCTATTAGCTCTTCCGTTTTCTGAAAAATCCCATCAATTCCTTTGGCAGGGTCTGTCAGATATACCTCAGCTCCAAAGGCTAGCAGTACAATTCTTCTCTCAAGACTCACATAAGATGGCATAGCCACTAAAAGTTTATAGCCCTTTAATGCTGCTATACATGCCAATCCAATGCCGGTATTACCACTTGTAGCCTCAACAAGAACACTCTTTTCAACCATCATTCAAAAAGATTAAAGTTGTTTAGATCATAAATTCAACAATATGGACAACATAATAAGTGCCCGAAAAGGCTCACTTCAATATTATAAGCAGTAATATTGAAAAGTCTCAATAAAACATGCACAGTGACTATGATGAATGATTTATGGTATGGACTGAAAGAAGCAGTGAAGACACGGTTGAACTGTTGAAGGACATGTATTGAATAGGAATCTGAGTAACATAATTGTCCCAATAAAAGCCACGTGTATAGAAGTGCATGACTATATTTATATTATCACAGACCTGAGGGCACGAGAAGAATATGTACATATCTAACCTCAACATTACTAACCTTTCCAGGTGTAATAAGGCCTTTATTCTCAGCATCTTCAATCATACTCAAGGCTATCCTGAGTGAGAAAAGGAAGATTATCATTACAAATTCTTAAATGAAAATTCTTAAAACCTTACAGTTCCAGACAGCTCTAGTTTGTGAAATTAAGGAATCTCATGCCTATCCTTGACACTAGAGCCAGGTTGCATGTACTCTAGCTTAGCAGCAATACGGGCTACACACCCGTCCACAATGTTGTTCAGATATACCATTGGGGTATTCCCAATTAACTGCACAATGAATGGAAGAAGATAATTATTATTATCTATTTTTTTAAAACTAAACATAATGACAAAAAATACTGCAAGCATGGCAGAATAGCTAAGATGGTGAAGGTAGAAGGAGGGGCCAAAAAAGTAAGTGATTATGGCAAAAATATATTACTTCAGTGGCATCTTTCTTGATTGCACACTGAGGCTCCATGTTATCTACTCAACAAGACCTGCAAGCTGAACAAAGCGAAGGGTAAGAACTTAGTTGAAAATGACCGCGATATATATATATATATATAGATATATACACACTCTTCTTCTCGGAGAAAAGGCACCATTACATATTATATATATTGGACTGACTTATCTACACACGTCATTTAGTAGGGAGAAATTTTTTTTTTTCGAAAATCTTGATTTTCATAAATATAATTTTCACGTTCATAATATTCGAAAATTTAAAATTTAAAAAATGAAAATTCTAAAAAAAAAAAAAAAACTCGTAACAAATGCCTCTCAAGGGTGTCTTTTTTTTCTTTTTTCTTTTTTCATAAAACATCACTGCCCTTGAATCTCAGAAGGGGCACCGTCATATTTTACGGCTCTGTGAACATTAACAATCAAGACGTTCTGAAATAAATAATTATTTAATACAGATTTCACATGAAAGGCTGACATTTAAAACGACTTTATCTTACTCATTTTGTAAGGAAAAGCACTGTCTTGCAGAGAGAAGATTTGGAAAAGAAATAAATATAAAAAGAGAAAAAACAATATCAACGAGCAGCACAAGAAATCTCCTGTGCACTAACCAAAAGTTCCTGAAAAATAAGAAAAATAAACTTTAACATTTTAAGTTAAATTAATTTTTTACATGGTATTAAAGTCTCACTCATCGTAAATTATGAGATTAATTTTTCACCACGTCACACTTTCTAATAAAATTAAGTATGCATAAAGAGAAACAAACAAAAAATTGGGCTATATGATATTCACGTTTCAAGTCCAAAAAACTGTTACGTGATGAGGTATATTAGAGAATAATATAACATCATTAAAAAAACTCTCACCCAATACCTTAAGATTTTGGATTTAAATAGTTATTTATTACCTATACAATATCCACGTTTCAAGTCCAAAAAACTCTTAAGTGAGAGAATGTGTTAGAGAATAATATAAAATCACTCAAAAGTCTTACCCAATATCTTAAAGGGTGGCCCTTACAGGGTGGCGTTTGTTACGCGGAATATATTTCAAAACCGGGAAAGGATGGTAGGGAAAAAAACAATGCTACATTTGGTAGCAAAAAATGAAAAACTTTCCGGGCCAAATTTGTTTCCCGTATATTGCTTTTGTGTGAAAAGTTTTGTACGGTCTGTGAAGTGAAAGTTTCATCAAATAGGTGGAAATGTTTATTGCCCGGGGAGCAAAAAATAACCCGCGAATATGTGGACCAAATTGACCTTGTGTTTTGTACGATGTGTGAAGATATTGTGTTCACAAATCAGCAATACCAAATGAAAGCGTTTGCTCCGTCGGTGTAGTTGGTCACATCCTTGAAGATCTACTGTACCGTCCAAGCTTGCAGGTTCCCCTGTTTACCACATTAGAAGGTATACTGGTAGAATGTTGACATCTTGGCTGCATGCATAAAGCATCTTTCGAGGGTGGAAGCCGTATATGTTGTCTTTGTGTGTGTTTAATGTTTAGTTCACTTTGTTTAGAATGGGCTCTCCCATGACTAACAACAGGTTTGAATGGAAGTTGTACGTGTTATCTTTCTCTGTGTTAGTGTGTTCTGATTAGAGGTGGCAAAATGTGCGGTGCGCTCCATCCTTTCAAAAAATGAGTCAGCTGTGCTTTTGAAAGCCCGCCCCGTTTGGCGGGTTGGGTGAGTTGACCCGCCAATCCGAGCTTATTTTACATTAACTCGTCTTGGCCTGCCATTAACCCGCCAAAAAATGAGTCAGTCCGCCCCGTTTGACGAGTTGACCCGCCGAGCCGAGTCCGTTTTGACAGCTCTAGTTCTGATGCTTATGCTTCGAAGTTATAACTTAAAAATAAAAATAAAAAAGCCCAAAAATTCCTTCCATTCCGCGGGAAGCATTTTTTAAAGGCTTATTTTTTCATTTGCATTTTTCACCAAGAATCACACTCGCTAAAGGTGGGTTATGTATTCTTCAATGCATCTGCCTCACCCTAAATCAAGATCTGTTTCTTTGTCTTCAGAAACGTTTGTTACAATATTTGAATCAACAGGTAAATGTGGGATTATTTTGATAAAATAACTTCATATTTCCATTAACATTTCATAATCAACCAAACACAAACTCAATAAAATTAACCAAATATTTTTAGGAAATTATGGATCTATCAAACAGTTTTTTAGTAACATTCAAGAGAAAATATATTCCCACTATATTTCCAGAATTCGTGATTTTCGAATAATTAAAAAAATTTCTTCTATCAAATGCTCTCTAAAAATTTAGGTTGAATTGATTCTTTTTATTGTATGAAAGTCTTAAATGGAGTTATATTATTTTATAACGCACCCCTCAAACAAATCTTGTTTTTTAATCCGGAATTCGATTCTCAACCACAAACCAAAAACTGGAACTACTAAATATCCACCTTCAAATCAAAAACTGGAACTTCATATTTCCACACTACAAGGATAAGTTCATGTGAAGTTTTTGTATTCTTCGCGTTTATTTTCTCTTACTTTTTAGAGTAAATATTTTTTACGGTCTTCAGCAAATTTTATGTTGTCCATTTTAGTCCATAACAAATTAAAAGACTATTCATAATCTTTAAGAAAAGAAATGGACTAATGTGAATCTCTTTTAAAAATTTTAAGAACCACAATTTTAATTAAATAGATCTTACTTTGAATTTCTTAAAATCACGAATAACTTTTTCATTTGTAAAAAATTATAACAAAATAAATTTACTAATTTTTATTTATTGGCACAAGACAATTTTGTGTTATGTTTCACCAAATTGACAGCGACATGACAAGGAGTCTTCAATTTGTAGCATTAATAACAGATGAGTTTTTACATAAGATATGCACATTCCTCTCTCGACATAAACAAAACATGATTTTATCTTATAAAAAATTAAAAGATAGACTTGGCAGGGACCGCATTCATACAGTCCCCACTGCCATAAATTTTGACGTACAGTCTCCACAAGGGAGATGTTAGGCAAATGCACCTCTCAATGTGCAATGAAGGTCATCCACCTAGGCCATGAGCCTACCTGATCACCCATAGACCCCGTCCAGGTATGTAAGTATTAAATTGGGTCTTTCTTTCTTTTATATTGTCTCATCCTTCCTCATCTACAATAACACAATCGATGTGGTACAACAATTTTTAAAATTCTCACACTACAAGGATAAATGACACATGCTGGTGGCCTCTTTCATGACAGTGATGACAGTACTTGCTAGGCCTTTTATTGCAGAGAAAGTTTGGTTGAAAATATTCAAATTTATATCACCCATTTGCTCGATTTCCAAAGGCACTACGCATGAAATATTGAATGTATCTGTTGAATCTAAATATATTGAGTGTGCTTCACAATTTTTTTTTAACGAATGAAACAAACTGATGATACTGCGATCTCTGTTAAACAGACTTGCCATGAACCAACTGCTAAACTAGTATAAGCATCAAATCAAAGCTCAGTGCATTTATAAATGAAACTAAAAGTTATTCAAAAGTGAAAAAATTCAGGTCCCCGGCCACAAATTACACAAATTGTGACGTTGACTAACCCCTTTCCATGGGCAACTGAAGATCACAAAGTCCTCTCTTGATCACCCATAGACTACACGTTTGATTCATTTTTCATTATTGTATTGATGAAATATTGAATATAATTCACTAATATATAGCAAGAGTTTTGATGGTTATAGATAGATTGACGAAAATCAACTCTGGATCAGTTCTGGACATAAAGACAGATTAAAATCTCATAATGCATATTTTTTATTCTGATTGAAGGGCAGTTATGTGATATATATATATATATATAGAGAGAGAGAGAGAGATAAAGAGTGGTAGGATTCTTTGACATCGGTGTCAAATTTGAAATTTGACACCTCACAGCCGTTAGATCAAAAAAGATCAATGATGTCACATGCTTACAAATCAGAGTCATTGATCTTTTTTGATTTAACGACTCAGATGAGGTGTCAAAATTAAAATTTGACACCAGTGTCAAAAGATCCTACCTCATATATATATATAGGGGTAGGATATTCTTACACCGGTGTAAGAGTTAGAAGTCTTACACCCAATCTTGATCATTGATCCACTTGTATCTAATGGCTCACATTACTAAAAAATTTGAACCGTTAGATAAAAGTAGAATAAATGGACAAGATTAAGAGGTGTAACTTATACTGGTGTAAAATGATCCTGACCCATATATATATATATATATATATATATATATATATATATATATATATTGATAAGATTTCATTTGTTTAATGCCTTTATAAAATACAAAAATTTCACATAATAACAAGATTATATAAAATTTTAACCCAAAAGAATATTATGCTTCCTTAGAGAGAGAAATTCATATTCTAGGAGCATTCATTTTTTCTTGAAAGCATTCTAAGTATCTAACATCAATAATTCTTTGTCGTAATTTCAACTAGTGCAAACTTAATATTCTTTTCATCTTAATTCTAACCGCCCCGTTAGTTACTTTCAAACAATCTTGGCTTTAGTCCAATCAATTTTTTCTAATACAAAAAATAATTTTTATGTACTACATGAAAATAGACTTCAAATGCTTAAGGTAAATGAAGTCATCGCAAATTTTTATTACCATTCACAACCTAATTAAGTACCCTCCATAAAAAACCACTTCCCATTAAATCCCCTAGTAGCAGCGATTGAGATAAAGATAATCCTTATATACAGCACATATTTATAGGTGACTCGGATAAAATCTTCCAAAAAAAAAATGACTCTATAAATAGAATCCCCAAAATATGCAGCTAAAGAAGTTCCAAAAAATAATACAAGCAGACTCATAAAACCAGGATTTGACTAGTAAATGAAATTGGTACAGGAATCGATTCTTGGCGTCACTGACTATCAAATAGCTGAGAGTTCAAATATTCCAAAGCGCACCACTTCTGATATTATTATTGAATTTGAATTTAAAAGCAACACAAAAGCGTATTATGTTTCAGATGAATATTGAAAAAGCATATCTAAGTCATACACGGACTGCAACTCAAGATGCTACCATTCCCTCCAACTTCAAATTTAAGAAGCAAAAGACTCATATGCCTTTTATGTAAGTTCAGAGCTCGAAGACCATGTTATCTGCTTCTCGCTTCACGGATTCAAAGAGCACTGATGATAGATAACGTTCTCCAAAGCTCGGGAAAACCACCTATTCAGGTATCCAATGGGAGTGTTAGTGCTTAAATATGGTAAGTACAATAATCCTAAAGATATTGAATGGAATAAACTAATAATGCCAATTATGAACTCCAGGAGATTACTTCAAGAATATCAGATAAGTACTACTTATGACAAAGCTGGTACAGCACACAACTTACACAATCAACAAAGTTAAACCCAGGTCATGTTCAAAGGGGGCAAAACAAGAAATTATGCTGCATTTCCAGATTAATAAGACTACATTACTAGCATAGAACGTGTTAAAATCTAGAAAATATTTTTTTTTTTCAATCTAAACCTTAGAGTTATCAATCAAAAAAAACTGCAGTTAGAAAATCAAGTTGACTCAAATCAATAGCAAGCAAATGACATTTCAGATAGCTAATAGCAGAAAACAATTGATACCAAGATAAACCAAAGTAAAGCAGCAACTTTTCCAAAACTCTTTCCTCCTTATGCCACATAATCCTATTGATATTACATCTTAGCCAACTATAATAACTGCAGTCAGAGAAGAATATCTAATACCAGATAAACAGAACAAAAACTTACAACAATGAGTTTTCCAGCATTTTCTGGTCTCTTTGCAATCTTAATTGCAGCAGCGGCGGCAGCACCAGATGATATCCCCACCTGCAATGCATGTTCATCTTAGAAATAGAATATCATTAAAAACACTCCCTTTAACCTCCTCTCCCTTAAACATACAAAATGGACAGACAGTTCAAATCATGCTACTTACAAAAGATGATGCGTAAAACAGATATCTTTCAGATGAACTTACCAGCAAACCCTCTTTTAACGCAAGAAGTTTAGCAGTTTCAATAGCTTCTTCGCTAGAAATCTACATAAATAGGAAAAAAAAAGAGATACCATCTATTTAGTGTGTGGGATGTAGAACTAAAAAAGGTTATACAAATCATTGGCAAATCTTAAACAAATAAAACATTGTAAAAAATCAATTCAACCCAAAAGCTAAAGTTAGTGGATGAGGACTTTTTAATGGTTTATACTATTCTCTAACACGCTCCCTCACACGAGAGCTCATTGGGCTTAAAGGGTGGATAATGCATCAGGCCCAGCTTACCTGTGCTAAGAAATTCCACAAGAGAATGTGGGGGGAGGGGGCGGTGAGGATCGAACCTGTGACACCGAGGCTCTGATACCATGTAAAGAACTAATTCAACCCAAAAGCTTAAGTTGTTGGGTGAGGTTACATTAATGATTTTATATATCTTTAACAAATATGCTTCCTCATATGAAGTGAATTAACATACTTCAGTCCTTAATGATGATAGGAAGTACAAGCATTTTAATTTTATTGTGACTTTACCAAGTAGAGAGGGAAAAAAGATAATAGAAGAGATTGCATATTCATATGTTAACCAAAAGGACGGCTACTTGTTTTTTCGTATAATTTATTCTTGAAGGTAGTATATCAGATTATTGTATATAAAATATATTTATTCAAGCACAAATAAATCTATAAAAAATTTCATGCCTTACTTGGATAACTTCATCAAGTAAACCAACGTCCAAAACACCAGGGATGAACCCAGCACCAATTCCTTGGATCTTATGAGGGCCTTATACACATAAACAACCATGCATTTGTCAGGGGAATGATACACAAAAGGGGTAAGTCTCAACGCAACCATACAAAATAATGTATAAAATAATAGGTGAAAAACTATGCGCACAAAACAACTTTTTCTTTTTGTTGATAGGAGTGGAGCAAAGGTGAGAAGGAAAATAATATTCAGATACCATTTTGAACTCCAAGCAAACACAATCAGCAATAAGTAGCACACAGAACTCATGTTCATAAGTGCTTAGTGTGTACAAGCATACGTAATCATCATGGCAGTAACAGTCAATGACAGAACATACACGCCTTTAAATATAGGAAACTAGAAATCAAATCAGCAAGTGGTCATTTAAAAGAAAAATTCCAAAGTGTACATGGATTATCTATTATCTAAGTTTAAGAACCAATATAAGATCATTAGCATCCAATTGAAGCAAATTCAGAAAAATGCATTCTACTGATACATAATAGACCATATCATATGTACAAAAAAATAAAAGAAGAGACCCACCCAGGGCCTAGTAATTCCCCAAAAATGGTGAAACTGCTAACAATTGAAAATAATAAATACGTAAAGTGAATTATACTTGCGCAAAAGGCCTACAATCATTAAGTATAAATTTCAATTGCCTGATAACAAAACGTCAACTAAACTCTGTTGTCATATAACTGTGAGTATGCAAGCAACTTAAGTGCTAGGATTATTATTTTATTGAATCTGTATTATAAAGTAAATAGCATGATCAAAATATAAAAATAAGTTTAAATTCAACAAGAAATCAACATTATTTTCTTCTAGTTATGAGAAACCAAGTAAACTATTTAGCAAGATATATCGCTCAGTGTACCAACTACCAACTGTGACTAATGTTATAGGATTCTCCAAACAGCAGTCAAATCACCTAAATGTATTTGGGAATTAGAGACCTACGGTATGAATGAAACATATATATAAAAAAAAAGACTCACCAGGTTTCCCTCCAGACAATACTGGACTTTCAAGTGGTTCAATACCATATAGCTAAGGAAAAATGAAAAAACTTGTAAGCAAAACAAGGGGGAAATCAGAAAAATAAAACTGGCAAGAGAAAAAAGCCTAAAAATTTAAGTGGGGTAATAACATACTGTCAAAGTTAAAAGCCTAACCTTAATATCGGGGTTCTGCTCCTTCAGATATTTCCCAGTACCTGTTATTGTACCTCCAGTCCCTATCCCAGAAACAAAGGCATCAACTTTCCCGCCAGAGCCCTTCCAGATCTCTGGTCCGGTGGTTTCATAGTGAATCTAAGAAGAGGAGAAAGAAATTGAGTTAGAGAATTCTCTTCAACCAACTGATTCTTAAAAAAAAAGCACATTGACACAATTAACACCTTTGGGTTGGCTGGATTTTCAAACTGCTGAAGAACATAAGCATTGGGAGTCTTTGCCAGTATCTCTTCTGCCTTCTGAACAGCTCCTTTCATTCCTTTGGCTGGATCTGTGAGAACTAACTCGGCTCCAAAAGCACGAAGAATGATTCTTCTTTCTAGACTCATGGAAGCAGGCATGGTTATAATAAGTTTATAACCCTTAGCAGCAGCCATGAATGCCAAACCTATGCCAGTGTTTCCGCTGGTAGGCTCAATGAGGACACTCTACAAAATGAACAACAATTGACCTTATCAATTCATCACTTATTTTCTTCAACATCATTAGGAAACTTCCCAAGCACGCATTACTAAGTATGCTTGAAAGATGACAATGTATTGATAATCAAATGGCTAGGTATCACATAGAACCACTACTATGTTAACATGTTAAAAATTGAGAGCAACAGGATATAAGTCTCAGAACCAAAAAACATCCACTCATAATACAGCCTCAAATTTCACCAAAAGAATAAGCCGAAGGAAGCTTTAATGCAATATGAAGTGCAGGTGCATCGTAAATTCAAATATCCAAGAAGGAAAGGAAGATCGAAAACAAAAACTAACTTCACCCGGTGTAATGAGTCCCTTCTCCTCAGCATCTGCAATCATACTATATCCTATCCTGCAGCAAAGGGAAGAATTATATATTAACACGGAAACATTCAGAATAGATCTTATTGCATGAAATGGAATAGAGGCTTCGGCATCAAAAATACAACTTCTATACTGAAATTACAGGTTCCGTAATGCCAACTGAAATGGATCTCATAATCAAATCCAAGAAATTCAGCCACAGAGAAATCTCAACAATAACAAAAACACTACCAATCACACACACACATGCAGTCAAGCAGCAAATCAAGAGAATGGTCAGATGGCAATTTTTCTAAGAAAGAAGAAATCTGTATACCTGTCTTTGACACTGGAGCAAGGTTCCAACATTTCTAGCTTCGCTGCAATTCGAGCAACACAACCATCTACAACATGGTTGAGATATACCAATGGAGTTTTTCCAATCAACTGTGCATATCCAATTAAGTTAGAATGTTTCATCACTGAGACCAATAAAAAAAAAAAAAAAGTGGTGTTGAACATGACTTACTTCAGTTACATCTTTTGCAATGATTGACTTCTCTTCCGCCATTTTTAGCAAATCTCTGCAAAATCATAACTAAAACGGATAAAAATCCTAACAAATTAAATTATCAGAACTAGGATTGGTTGATTTGACTTATCCTCAAATTTCCCTTAAGAAATCATGTTATTGGGTTTATTAAAATATTCGTGTGAGAAAAAAAGGGCGAGGAACCGTAGAAACTAAAACCAGTATGCTAAATACGTTTTGAAAATATTACTAATTAACAAAACTATATAAGTCCTCTTCTGAAACGATCTAATGTTGAATTAAAGTTTTCACAAGAAACAAAGAAAAAGGAGATAAGCAGAATATAAACTTCAAAGCTTAAGAGAGTGAAAAAAATACTTCATAATCGATAAACAAATACAGGGAAAAGGTGCATCAAACTTATGTATCCAGAAGTGCTTATAAAGCAAGAGGAAATGATGAAGAAGATGAAGAAGAAATGTTGTTAAGTTGTTGAAAGGCTCACCAGTAGGGTATTCTCTTCTCCGAGCAATGCGTATAAGAGACGATAGCTTGAAAACAGAGAGAGTGTTGAAGGAAGGAGACGAGGCCAAACACGGAATATGCAATGTTCGTTTTCGTTATATGCTAAGGTTACGTTACTTTAGTTAACTTTTTTAATGGGGAAAATATCTGCACTTTAAAAGAAAAAATCTCTTTTTAAAAGTTACGCTCATTTTAATTAAAATTATTATTATTTATTTAATATTTAAATTAAAAAAATTCATCTTCTCTCACAATTATATTATTTTAATTATAATTCTATATTCTTTAAAAAAATAAATACTAATTGTTTATAATTTTGTATTCCGAATAATATATTGTTATAAAGAGGTAAAATAACATAATTTAGATCCTTCAAAAGAATAAATTATTTTCCCTTCATTTAATTATGATTTTTGTTATTTGAATTTTTAAAAAGTTTTATGTTTTAGTAAAAGTTAATAAAACGTTAATAAAGGTTAACAAATAAAGACTTATTAAAAAGATATCAGTGTTTTTTTAATTAAAATTATTATCGATGAGAAAAAATAAAAATTATATTTATTCAAATATTAAATAAATAATGATAATTTTAACTAAAATGACCTTAATTTTTAAAAATATTGATTTTTTCTTTTAAAGTATCGATATTTTTCCCTAATGAAAAACTTAATTAATGTTTTAGTAACGTAACTTTAATGTTTTTGTTTTTGTTTTCCCTGTTAATGTTTTATTAACTTTTTCTAAAATATAAAATTTTTCAAAAATTTAAATAAATTATAAGAATTTATAAAACAAAAAGTATAATTAAATGAAGAAAAAATAATTTGTCACCTAAGTTATGTCTTTGTTTCCCTGATAATTATATATTTTTGAGAATATATAATTATGATATTAAAATTAATTTTTTCTCTTTCTTCGTAAATTATATGCTAATGTGAAAAATAATAAAATATAATTTTAATATTATAACTATATACGTTTTGGAAAAACATAATTATAAGGGGTGAAAGGTAGATACAGACAAAACGTTTTCCTTGAAATGTTATATTTTATTTGAGTTTTAAAATGAGCTTTTAATTAATAACTATTAACAAGTAATGGCTTATTTAAAAATAATTTACCAAAAATATGTATATTTAAAAATATAATGATTTTATTTTAAAAAAATTAAATTATATAATCTAACTTCACAGTTTGACAAACAATAAAAACGTATAAAATATCGGTATTAAAAAAAAAACGTATAAAATACTCTAACCTGCATTCTAATACTTCCGAAAGACGATGAACGTTCACTGTTTTTCGGTCTATGTTCGTAATGATTATTCTATTCGGTTCTCACCGATTTCAATGTGATTCCGAATGTCTTAAAATAATATGTTCACGCAGTTCTGTTATACAAAACTCTAATAATTCTACTATATATACTTTAGAGTTTAGAGTAAATTTTTAATGCCGTGCTCTACAGATTAAGAGTGTCATTATAATAGTCTATTCAAATTTTATATTAGATTAGTCTTTCAAAAAAAAGTGTTACATCAATTAGTTTTAAGAAAATCATTAAATTAATTTCTCAAAATACAAAATAGTCCCAAAATCTATTTTAATAAAAAATAAAAATTATGATAAAAGAGAAAATTTTAATGGTTATTTTATATCTTCAAGCACTAATTTAATATATAAATAAATAATATGATGATATCCTAATATTTGTCAGACTCGTTTAATAACAATTTTTTATAAAACAAGTATAATAATATATTAACTATTAAAAGATCATTTTTTTACCAAAAAAAAAAACTTTTAAAAGATCATTTTACAATATTTTTTTTCTCTCTTTTCATTGTTTCCGTGTGAGTTGTTTCATTATTATATTCTTCAGAGAATACTGTTAAATTTCAAGCTAACAACTTAGGACATGTTTATATTTATTTAGAACTTGTATATTTTCTTAAATAAAAAATGTAATTTAATTAAAAATTTATATGTGAATTTTTTAAGATAATTGACTAAGTTTCCCAAAAAAAACGAAATTTATTTTTTTTAAAATTTGAAAAAAATAATTTCAAAATAGATTAAAAAAATATATTACAAAAATAATTCTTTTTACAAATTTGTTTGAAAAAATCCTTATTTTTAAGAAACAAAAATATTTTAAAAAACTCACTTAGTAAAAATTTTATCAATTATTTTAAGTACAAAATAAATTGGTACAAATACATCATTTAAACTAATCTTATAAAATCTTCATTATATTATTAGGAGTTTATATTTATAAATTTTTTATTTATAAATTACACTGTGTTCTTCGAAAAAACACTAAATTATATTATGTTCTTCTGAAATTACATAATTTAATTTAAAAAATTTATAAAAAAAATTATAAACCATCCTTCCCCTTCGAAAAAACACTAAATTATATTATGTTCTTTTGAAATTACATAATTTAATTTAAAAAAATTATAAACCATCCTTCCCCTTATATTATTGTCTAATCTAATATGTTATATGGAACAAAATTTATTCGTGAAAGTTGTGCCATGAATCATTATTGTTCCAAAGGTTTTGATGACTTCGAAATGACACACTATTGATTGACCCATTTAATAGTAAAGAAATCCTAGATCTTTGACAATCGTATCGTACACATCGAGGTTTTCACCCTCATGCACATAAGCATGCTTCTTTTCTTACCCTACACGTCATTTATTGTAGGTCACGCTGACTTGAGCGCCAGAGTATTCGTAGGAGCACCACCTTTTACTATCTTTCTTCTTCTTCTTTTATACATATCCACCTTTTACTTTCATTGCTCATCCAAGCGCATAGAATATGTAATCACCACCTAATTTAGATCATTGAAAGCTGCAAAAAAAAAAAATTAAATATTATTTTTTTAATAAATAACTATGTAAATATAGGCATTTTGAAACCATTTACGGAAATATACGTTGGAGGTTATGAATTTAAGAGAAACAAATTTAGAGGTGCTTGAAATATTACACCAAGAGATATTAAGTTTGGAATAATCAACAGTGTTACCTCCAACTTAGGAAACCCTAGATATAAGGCAAGTTATTGGGCTTCAGCCCATATGGACCCAAATAACTATGATTTCACCTATTGGACTTATATGTGAACATATTATTGGATTATATTATTAATATATCCAACAGTATAGCAGTCAAACACGTTCACATAAGACGTGATCCAGTGGAAAAAGGCACGCTCATGTGACGCGTGACCTAAGAGAAAGACACGCTCACATGGGTGTGACCAGGAGAGAGACACGCCCAGGGGCGTGACCTCCCTGGTCTACAAAACTATTAATGGCTTTCATGTATTGTATTTATCGAAATATTACAATATTCTCTTTATTTTTTTACTTTGCAAGTAAAGTAAATGAGTTTTGTCTCGGTTCTCAAATTTTTTTATAATAAAAAGTACTTTTAGTAAAAAAAAGTTGTAGCCTTTATGAGTACGAGGAAAAGTTGGGTAGGAATAGTTAAGATTGGCAACCATCATTAATGGCACTAGCCATGTCCTCTGCGACGTCCAACAACTCACTGCGACTTCCAACGCCTGATGCTATAGGTTAGGGAGTAGTGATGTGACACAGAGGAACCTGCATGCAGTGCAGAGAAGAGATGAATGTTGTTAAAGAATAATAAACATGTTGCTTGTCTTTATATTAAGGGAGGTCACGCCCATGTTGAGCGTGTCTCTTTCCTGGTCACTCCCCATGTAAGTGTGTCTCTCTCTACTGCTCACGTCCCATGTGGACGTGTTTGACTGTTATACTTGTGTAAATAATTTCAAAACGACTATATTTACGTAATTATTTATTAAAAAAAAATAATATTTAAATTTTTTTTGCCCATTGAAAGCTCTAGGTACAATCTCACTACTATAAGTCTAAATAAACACACCTAACAATTATTATAATATTTTTTCCTAAAAAAATAAACTTATATGATGAGTTATTTTTCTCATATTTTATTATTAAAATTTAAATTATATAACTCAAAATTTAAAATTAATACAAGTTATTTGGATATCTATATAACTAATTTATCTCATTCTTTTTTATAAGTCAATATCAAACATCATATTTAAATATTAAAAAGTTGAATTCAAGCCTATCTCAACTTTTTTTTCTATATAGTACATATTACGATTAACATATGAAAACAATCAAAATTATTAGTTCAATCAATAATTTTCTACAACCAAGTAAACGATCAGGTGAGATTTTTGAGAAAAAATATTTTACTTGTCATGAGAATTTTGAGAAAAAATAGTTTGATCTAACTTAAGATATAATTGTCCATTCAATTACAGGATGAAATATCCTTATTATATAATATTCCTCCATTCATTCCCACACATAACGTGCTCCCATTCTTGTGAAACTGAACTTTCACTGAATTAGAAAATATTGTGATACAAAAGTAAGTACAAAGGTGCAGCTACACAATATAAAGATACAAAGAGTACATGTGAACCTGCCACATTAGCAAGAACTAATAAACTAAAATAACAGAAACTCTAACTAAAAATAGCTTGATCAAAATTCAGTTACATAATGAAATATCACGTGCATGGGAACTAGGGAACTACATTCTACGCTATCCTGATTCTTGACTTGAAATCTTTTTTTATTTTTTCTGAATTATCATATTGTATTACCCCCCCAGTGGGACATTACAGATCAAGGAGTCCCAACTTGGAGATGTTAGAAGAGAAGGAAGGTTAGGGAAGAGCCTTTATAAAAACATATGCAAGTTGTGTTGCAAATGGAACTAGGATAAACGCAGAAAACCAGACTGTAATTTTTCTTGAGTGAAGTGACAATCCAGTTCTATATGTTTGGAGCGTTCATGGAACACTGGGTTGTGCACAAAGTAGATTGCAGATCTATTGTCGCAGAAAACTAATGCAGGTTTTTGAGAAGGAAGACGAAGATCATCAAGCAGAAAGTGAAGCCACTGTAGCTCACATGTAAGAGTAGCCAACACCCTATACTCAGTTTCATAAAAGCTACAAGAAATAGTGGATTGCCTTTTAGACTTTAATGAAATAAGAGAAGGA